CCAAACTCCACCAGGCCATCCAGCTGGGGCATCCAAATTTGCTGAGTTACTCAGGCCCAAATATTACATCCTTCAACTAGACAGTTTTGTCAAAGACATTGTGTTCGGTGTTCAAGTGTACACAAGTGAATCCCAAAGGAGGAAAAAAAAAAAAGCCTAGGAAGGAACCGAACCCAAGAAGGGCCCCTAGAGAACATTGAGAAGTCAACTTTACAGAGATAAAACCTACAGTTCTTGGGTTTAAATATTTCTTAGTTTTCATAGATATCTTCTCTGGATGGGTGGAAGCCTATCCCACCCAAATGCAGACAGCCTCAGCAGTCACCAAAAAAACCCTCCAAGAGTTAATAATACCTAGATATGGGTTGCCCCTCTCCCAATCTGACAGAGGCTCAGCCTTCACAGCCAAAGTTTCTCCAAATCTGACAAAGGTCCTAAATGTTGATTGAAAACTACTTTCTGCCTGGTGGTTGTGGCACACACCTTTAATCCCAGCACTCAGGAGGCAGAGGCAGGAGGATCTCTGTGAGTTCAAGCCCAGCCTGGTCTACAAGAGCTAGTTCCAGGACAACCTCCAAAGCCACAGAGAAACCCTGTCTCGAACCCCCCCCCAAAAAAAAGAAAACTACATTGTAAACTGGGTGGTGGTGGCGGCACACACTTTTAATCCCAGCACAAATCGAGTTCCAGGACAGGCTCCAAAGCTACAGAGAAACCCTGTCTTGAAAAAAAAAACAAAACAACCAAAAGGAAAAAGAAAAATAAAACTACATTGTGCCTGTAGATTACAGATCTCAAGACAGGTGCCTTAGAAGAAACAGGGTCTTAGAAGAAACTTTAAGTATGTCCTTGAGACTGACTGGCAAAACCTCCTACTGTTACACACACACACACACACACACAGTTTTGGAGGGGGTTTGTTTTTGTTATTTTTGGGTTTTTGGTTTTTCAAGATAGGGTTTCTCTGTGTAACAGCCCTGGCTGTCCTGGAACTCACTCTGTAGACCAGGCTGACCTCACACACACAGAGATCTGCCTGCCTCTGCCTCCCGAGTGCTGGGATTTAAGGCGTGCGCCACCAGCACCTGACTTGGTGTTCAGTGGCAACTCTTAGAAAACATTTAATTGGGACTTGCTTACATTCTCAGAGGTCTAGTCCATTATTGTCATGATGGGGAGTATTAAGACACACTGGCAGACATGGTGCTGGAGAGTAACTGAGAATTCTACATCTGGATCTGCAGGCAACAAGTGGAGACACACACTAGGCCTGACTTGAGTATTTGAAACCCTAAAGCTCACTCCTAGTGACACACTTCCTCCTCAAGGCCACACCCACTCTAACAAGGCCACCTAATCCCTGTTAAGCAGCCAACACTTTCTAATGACCAAGCATTCACGTATATGAACCTAATCTGTGGGGACCATTCCTGTTCAAACCAATGCTTGCTATGCCTGGACCCCAAACCCCCATAGTTATATTGGGCTTGGAACTTATCCTTTTCTAATCCTGACAACTATAAGTGGGATCGACCTATGCTTACCCTGTGGGACCTCCAAGGAAATGGTGCCTCCTTAATATTACCAAGATACCGTCTAGATAGTTCCCCCATGCAGATTCCTGCAGCCATGTACAGCAAGTTAACCCCAGGAATGGTAGTTGGGTGTATTCTCAGGCCCCAAGGTCTACTGACTTGCTTACATGAACAAATGTTCATTTCTAAAAGAAAAAAAAAAAAATGACAGAGTCCATCTAAATCTAGATTCTGGGTTTCCTCTGTGAGGCAAGCTGTCCCTGGTGGTGGGGGAAGGCATCTCGGGCTGGGCTCTGCTGCAGTTGGTACTTCAGCCCTAATTGTGGGAGATCAGAATTTCAAGGAACTCAATGCTCAAGTAGATATAGACCTAGGTTAAATGAAAAATCCTATTTACTGTCTGGAAACCCAGGTAGACTCCCTAGTAGAGGTTTTTTTCAGAGGTCTGGATCTCTTCATGATACAAGGAGGTCTCTGTACGACACTGGGGGAAACACTGGTTCTATGCCAACCAGTCAGGGATAATTAGAAAGTTTAGTCAAGAATCTGACAACTGAGCCTGGCGGTGGTGGCACATGCCTTTAATCCCAGGACTCGGGAGGCTGAGGCAGGTGGATCTGTGTGAGTTAGAGACCAACCTGGTCTACAAGAGCTAGTTCCAGGACAGCCCCCAAAGCCACAGAGAAACCCTGTCTCGAAAAACAAAAACAAAATAACAACAAAAAGAATCTGACAACTGATATCAATCCTCGGTCTCTTGGTCCCCTTAGTTGGCTATGCTTATGGCCATTACTGAGCCATTCATCTTTTTGCTCCTAGCTCTCAAAAGAAGTACCTTTAACTCTGGTTGCAAGATTTGGAGTGAATGCCTTCAAAATATACAGTTGGCTTTTGTTCTACACCCATGGAGTCAATCAACCAGGGGCCAATAATATCTTTGTGTGCTTTGGTTTTTCAGGACAGGTTCTCATGTAGCCCAATCTGGTCTCAAACTATGAGATGGCTGGTCTTTAAGTACTGATCCTATCTCCACCTCTCAAAATTTTGGGATTGGTAACTGTGTACCACTACACCAAATGAAGAAAAAACAAAATCTCTTTTTAGTTGAACATAGGGGGATGCTTTAGTGGGTAAAGTGCTTGCTGGGCAACCATGGTCTGGATTTGGATTCTTAGTTCCCATATATAAAGTCAGGCACAGAAACACATAAACCATGATCCCAGAACTGGGAGGCAGAGAGGATCTCAAGGACTCACTGGCCAGTGTGGCCAGACTGTGAGTTCCAGTTTAGTGAAAGACCTTGCCCCCAAAAGAGGTGAAGGTGAAAGGGGAAAACTAAACTCAAAGGCTTCACTTCTAATAATTTAAAAATAAAGGGACCAGACCCTCACTCAGCCCCCTGCTTTAGCAGCCATGACAGGCTACAGAAAAGACACATAGGCCTCTGACACAGGAAACTCTAGATCCTCTGGCCTCCTGGAGCCTAGGGCCCAAACTAAACACAAAGAAATTCCAGACACCCCATCCCCACCCCCAGCATCCTAGGTACTTGGTTCCTGGGAACTGTTTGGCCACAAAAGAAACTCCAGGGGAGACTAAAACCTCCCCTATAGTCTCCAGGATACAGTTCTGAAAACTATTGATATCTATGAACAACAGGCTACTTACAAGTAACAAGACAAAGCCATAGAAACCACAGAATGTTCCCTCTCAGCACTGACCAATGAGAATACCTGGTACACAGGTATTTCATGCTAAAATATGACTTTAAGAAATTTCTTTATTTTTCCCCAAACGTCAACCAATCAGAAATCAACCCGTACCTACTGATGTAATCCTGTAACTTTTGTCTTTAAAGCCTAGCAATAGACAGGGAACTTCACCCCCTCTGGAGGCTGCTGTGTCAGCCTGCTAGATGGGGTCCCTCCTGCAGTGTAGGATAAACAATAATGGTCTGTCTCCCTGGTCTCTTTGGGGATCCTTGACTCAAGCACAACAAAGGAACCTCTAAAAATTAAGGTGATCCAGGCAGTGTGGGGTAGCTCATGCCTTTAATCCCAGCACTAGGGAGGCAGAGGCAGGCAGATCTCTGTGTCTCTGTGAGTTTGAGGCAAGGCTGGTCTACAAAGCTAGTTTTAGGACAGCCAGGGCTACACAGAGAAACCCTGTCTCGGAGAAACCAGAAAGAAAAAAAAAAGGTAGAGTGAAATTGAGAAAGACACCGGGCAGTGGTGGCACACGCCTTTAATCCCAGCGCTCACTTGGGAGGCAGAGGCAGGCAGATCTTTGTGAGTTCGAGGCCAGCCTGGTCTACAGAGCAAGTTCCAGGACAGGCTCCAAAGCAATACAGAGAAACTGTCTCAAAAAAAAAAAAAAAAAAAAAGAGAAAAAGAAACTGAGGAAGACACCTAAAAGTCTCTGGCCTCCATACATGCATCCTAGTGGAAGTGCACCTGCACACACACACACCACACAGTTTTAAAAAGTGTATCTAAACCAGGCATGGTGGCGCACATCCTTTAGTCCCAGTGCTCAGGAGGCAGAGGCAGGCGGATCTGAGTTCAAGGCTACACTTAAAGGTGTATGCTGTCACACCTGGCTTTAATTATTTAATTACACAATTGTTCCTTTCCTTTTCTCCCTCCAATTGTTACAATGCACTCACCTTGCTCTCTCAATATCATGGCCTTTATTTATTGTTACATACATGTGTGGTGTGTGTGTGTGTGTAAATACAATCTGCTCAGTCTGTTTGTTACTTCTATGTGTATGATTTCAGGACTGACCACTTGGTATTGGCTAATCAATGTGGGGGCTCTTCCCTGAAGACCATTTCTCCTGCTTTCAGCATTCCTTGGTTGCCTGTAGTTGTCAAAGGCTGAGGACCTGTGAGAACTCCCCCTTCTGCTGGTGCTCATTCAGGTCATGTTTATGAAACCATGAGATTTCATAGGTATAGCTTCTCTGACATTTCTAGACGAAATCTCACAGCAAACCTATTCCTCTGGCTCTTACAGTCTTTCTGCCCCTCTTTTGCTATGATCCTCGAGCCTGATTGCAAGATTTGTTCTGTAGATGCATACTTTTGTGGAGGAAAAGGGCACGGTAGCCCACCCTTCTGAAGTTAAATTTGTATTCCTTGTCTAAGATGAAAGCTATTTTTTTTTTTTTAGATTTTATTTATTTATTATGTGTACAGTCTTCTGCCTGCATGCCAGCACAGGGCACCAGATCTCATTCAAGGTGGTTGTGAGCTACCATGTGGTTGCTGGGAATTGAACTCAGGACCTCTTAATCGCTGGGCCATCTCTCCAGCCCAGATGAAAGCTATTTTAAGAGGGAACAAGAACTAGCTATAGTCCCTGTCCTTTTTGGAGTCTTGCAAAGATGAAGTTTCAAGTCCTTGAGGAGATACTAAGAGGTATGGGCCACCAACCCCAGTAAGACCAAACAAATGAGACACACTTGCTCATGGATGTGTATTTTAATAAAAATAATTTTGTCAAAATACAACAGGAATTTTTTTCATCTCAAGTACAATTTAATAGGATGTTTGTGTTAGAATTCTGTCAACCCTCTCACACCACAAGTTTCATGCTAATGCTGAGTATCAACTTGCAAGGACAAAGGCAGAACCAGTGTGCACAATGTGGAGGATGCCTGTTTCAGCTGTAGTTGATAATGGAGGGAACCTATGCAAAGAGGTGGGCGCTGAGGACAGCCAGAAGCCACCATGTGGCCACAGGTCCAAATGCCTGCGATTGGTGGTGAAGTAGGGCTCTGCTGTCCAGCTGCCAAATGACATGCATACCTGAGTTGTGAGCAACCAAAGGAACGTTCAGCCCCAACAGTCCTCTGCCTCATCTTTTTTGTGCTTAAGGGCTGGGAAGGTGCTGGGTAGCCAAGCAGTCCTTACTTCCTTAGCTTGTGATATCCTTGTTCTGCCAGCCTACTCCCAGCCACAGACCCACATAGGAAGGGGTGGGGATATGGGTTTTTGACTCTGAGTGGTCTGCCAACTTGGTCCTTGCTCTGCAAGGAGCTATCATCTGGTGCCACAAAGGGAAGTGAGTAGGGAATGCTGCTCCCCAAGGGCTGGACAACCCAATACAGCCAGATCCTCCTCCTGTCCAAAAGGGTCAGGTCCAGCCCTTTACTAAGCTGCATCCAAGAACTATTCCCCACTCCAGGCTCCTGGAAACAGGCTAGTAGGATTGGGGGTACATACGGGGTTCCTCTGGCAGCAGGACTGGACTAACCACTGGCTCCAGCAGCTTGATTTTTGGCCCTCCCCACAGCTTGTGGGGCAAAGGCTTATGTCCCCAAAGTGAACTGTCCAACTAGGACAGAGAACCCCTCTGGAGAGGAACAGAGTAAACAACTTGGACTCAGCTGAAACAGTGAGATAAGGCACAGAAAATGGGGAGGTGGCCATGGGTACTGAGTGCGAGCCAGGTAGACACATAACCCCACGCAGCACACAGCAGTCCCGAGCCCTCCAAGGCCCTCTCAGCCGCTCCACAACCCAAGTCTAAGCACCCATCCCCACCCTTGTCATACTCCTAAAAATACCTACTGCTCAGGCACTGCTGATGTCATGCCAACCTAACCCCTCACAAAGCTCATTTGCCATTTTGCTTTAAGTCTAGACAGGAATGTCTAACCCACAGGAGTAGTTAGTCCTGGCTCCGACACTATTTGCTGTGTGGCTTTGGCCAAGTCACTTAATCTCCTGGGCCTGTTTCTTTAACTGGCAAAGGAAAGGGCTGGTGGTGATGTTTTTCTGAATTCCACTGCTCTGCAAATGCCACTGGTTTTCATTTCCAAATGTGAGGTGACCATTGTAACAGCTTGATATTTCCAACCTGAGTTCGGAGCTCGGTATTCCAGTCTTGGACAGGATGAAATGTCCTTTACACAGGACAAGACCTTCTGACAAGCTGTTAACTAAGGTCCTGTTAGGAACCAAGAAAATGTAGTAGCCTGTAGGATTAGCCCCCAAAGCAAAATTTTGGAAGATTTCAGTCAGGGTCCTGGCCCCTCACTAATAGCTGGTCTAACTCATTTTTGTCCAGCTGTGGGCCTGGTAAGGCCTGGTGGGCACAGAACGTCTCGAGCTCTGCCACTGATTTCTGTGTCCACTAACAGAACATGAGCTCACCCAGCCCTGATTCAGATGGGGACTGCAAGCCCACTTGTGACATTACCACAGTTGGACCTGCTCTTTGCAGAAGCTGCCTGGGCTTTTCACTCACCCTGTGAAGCAGGTAAGGAGACCCTGGCCCCTCCAGGTCTCCTCTATATAGACCCTCCTCTTCCTTGGCAGACAGTCCCCTCAACAGATGGCCCACCCACATCCTGGCAGCATCTCAGCCCTGTGGTGGTGGGGTTTTTTGTTATTGTTCCACCAGCTGTGAGGATCCATGTGAAACAGCTGGTGGGACATTTGTAAGGCCCATGGAGTCTCCTCTTCCTAAGAGTCGCTGGGGCCAAGCTATAGGGAGCAGTCTCCCGTAGCTGTGGGGAAATCTGGACCAGGAAGCCAAGGGTTCCATCCACTCTGGACCAATGGTCCAAGAATCAGCCTCCATGAGGTGCCAACTTCTCCACAGGAAACATCAATCCATCAGAGTTGGGCAGTGATGGTGAAGACCCAGGCAGGAAGAAAGCAGTCAGCCTGTACTTAAGGGCCTCTGTCCTGGGAATGGAATCTTCCTCTTGGCAGCCTGGCATACAGCAGCTCTTGGATTGAAGGCAGGTAGTTTCCAGGCATTCAACTGAGAGTAATGAATTATTTGGCCATCTTAACAACAAGGGAAGGCAGGACATTGAGATGGGAGAGAGGGGCAAGGCAGGCAGTGAGAGGCAGGGTAGAGTGGTAGACAGCGTGCTGGCTACGGACCCTGTGTTCCCTTGCTTTGCTGTGTGCCCCTGGGCCACCTCACTTCCCTGAATCCCTGAACCTGCGGTTCTGTGTTTTATCTACCTATAAGGGGCCTAGAGACCCACACCTCTTGGGATGCTGCAAAGCAGCTTAACCTGACCTTGCCCACCAAGCAGCCTCCCCCAAACCCATTTTGATTTCCTGGGCAGCAGCTGGACCTGTGGCTCAATAAAAGGGGAGCCTAAAATAAACAAATCACTTGATTGAAGTGACAAGAGATGATTCTTTTTTTAATGAGTTGGACTCAAATAAAAACACATGGTGTCTGGACAGCCTCACCCAAGAGGTGCTGGACCACTAGGCTACGATAAATACTGTGTCTTTTTTTTTAATATATATATTTATATATATATAATCTCATTTGTTTGTTTGTTTGTTTTACTTATGAAAATAATAAGCTATCATCAACCTGGATAGGCTTCATTACTAAATTAGCAGAAACCAGCTCAGCACAAACTCTCCCGAGATAAACACTGGTGGCTCAGTCAGGAGGGAAAAAAAAAGATTAAAAAAAAAACAAAAACAAAAACAAACAAACAAAAAAAACCAACCTCTCCTCAAAACAAAATCTCCTTTGAAGGAGAAGCCGCTACATGAGTAACCAGCCAATACTGTATCACAGGCCGCTGCACGTGGAAGGGAGAAGAAGGAAGAGAGAACAAGGAAAGGAGGGAGGGAGAGATGGAGAGAGGGAGGAAGGGAGGGAAGGAGAGAGGGAAGAAGGGAGGACCGGCCAGGTAGGAGGAGTGGGATTCTGCCCATGGCTTCTAGGTCTCTGTACCAGGTGCCTATGGAGGGCAGGGTTGTTCCAGCCCTAGGGCTGAAGGATGGCTAGACAGAGCCAGCCAGGAAGGTCAGCTAGTGCAAGTAGTCATCGACTCTGGCAAAAGAGCAAGATCCCAGGCCTGCTCGGGCCATAAGTCGTAGACATTCAGAAGCCTGGCCCAGGGCGAGCATCAGAGGAGGCTGCTTTGGCAGGTTCTGAGACTCTGTGGAGAAGATTACAAGGTATGGTCAATGCCTAGCCAAGGAATTGGGCACAGGTCAAAGTTCCCTAGAGGTTAGAGGTATGGACAGAACTCTTAGAACAGTATTATTGTCTGAGTGTCCTAGACATCAGGCCATGGCCCTGCATTCATGATAGGAACCCGAGGACCTTGGCCTTCTCTAGAGCAAGCTGGTCTGGCCCATGGCCATGAAGTAGCAGCCAACTCAGGTAGGCAGAGGGTGTTAGGGTCAGGTTCCCTGTGAATTGGCCTATGCTAATCTTGATGCTCTTCCTAGGAAGACGGAAGGTGGCCACCCACACACTCATGGGTTAACTTTTGCTTTCATTAGATGTACTTACCTAAAATGGCGCTGTTGAGAGCAGCACACACGGGCTCCCTCTGGATGGGATCAAGCTGATGGCCAACTGGGCAGCTCCAGGGGTCTGAATATGCTAGTAAGCTAAAGGCATCCTAAGGGACAGAGCACTCGTGAGAGGAATGTAGCATACTATACATAGTCCCATAGCTCCAGAAAAGGACAGAATACTACATGGGGCCCAGTGAGAGCTCATTATATCTGGACTATAGAGTCAGGCAAAGCTATACCCTCTTTAGGTCTTAGAATGGGTGAAGAACACCCTAAACACCCCACATCCTACTGCAGACATGACTAGAGCCCATTCTGGCCTATTACTACAGCCCCTAGATGTTCCCAGAGCCCCAGCATCAAATGGGGAACTGCTTTGTATGAGGACCTGGCTTATCCTATACCTGCAGCATCTCCGTGTGGGCCAAATTCTTGCCGTACTCTCGGCCCAGTTGCTCACTCAATGCCTGCAACTCTCGGCCAAACAGGATGATCCTTTCTGTGGCAGCCTGGTTGCCCCCGCAGAGCTGCCGCCGTGGATGCCCATCGTCTGCACCCAGAGGCCAGCAGAAAACACATTAGAGGGCGAAGAGGGAAGAACATGAAGGACACCATGAAGCTACAGCTTCTGCCAAAGGCAGGCAAGGGCTAGGAGACCAAGCAGGTGGAGCAGCTAAGTCCAGCTGGCATATAGACTAGAAGTGGTACAAGACTTGGCAACTTCCCTCATCCCACCCTGCACAAATGCATGTTACTAATGAGGTCCACATTCTTGTACTCTCTTTAGCCTTGAAGGGGTCTTGGCAGCGAGCATGGACCTTCTTACACACTGGAAGCCACCTCAATGATGCATCCAGGAATGACTAAGAAAGTGGTGGATTCAGTCCAGCTGCAGTTTCTCAAGCTGCCAGAGCCTGCCATCTTAGCCCCTCTTAGGAGGAAATGGGCATTAGGACTGTATGTTGCCCTCTCAAGGAACATAGGGGCTGGGTCATACTAAGGAACAACACTTACCCATGCTGGACTCATCTGTCTGCAGGTCTTCATGCTTGTAGGCACCATTGACTATGCGCGTGGATATGCTCTCCAACACACCGTTAGGATAATGTTCTGCCTCCATCTCCATTTCACTGTCACTGTAGAGAAGAGTTGAGATAAGAGTTGGGCCTCTATCCAGGTTTTGTTTACCATCACTTCATGTAAACTGAAGGAGTTTACCTGAGGGACTATAATGGCTCCTATGATGGCATCAAACTGAAGGACTGTCAGGAACACAAAAGGATAGCCCAAGCTTTCTAGGCTCCAAAACTTAGCGCCTACTACAGTTATCTCCAGGTGCCTGTTACATGATTCCTATTCTTGTCCCAAAGCTGCCCCTGTGACTCTTCTCAGTAGCTCTCTGAGTTGACACACCTCTTTAATATATATCCCACTTGTCCCTACCAACTCAACTGATTGGGGCCTTGTCAGGACCCAAACCAAGGTTAGCTTTTAGGCATGCCTAGAACCTGCTAAGAGCCATCTGGAGCTTCTGCCTACAGCCCAGATCACCTGGCTGCCCATGAGCCTGATTTCATAAAAACTGCTTAACTGTAGACCCTTGAGGTTCTAATAGGCCTAGCCTCCTTGGAGAAGGAGTCCCTGCGTTCTCAAGTCTGGCAGGGTCAGCATCTCCAGACAAAACCAGAGCCAAGGAAATTGACAGCTATATCTTGAATGGGGACAAAACCCAGAACCAGTGTTTGGCTTGACCTTTCAATGGATTGAAATCCAGGCAAGACCTACAAAAGAGGTGAGGGTAAAGGGCAGAAGATAGCATTTAAAAGAAGACACTACCCAGTGGCAGGTCCAGCGGGAAGAGAACAGAAGCAGAGGGAGAGAGAGGAGCAAGACAGGCACCTGGTCTCCTGGTTACTGGCACTGCTGTGGGGCTGGGACTTGGTGGAGTCTGTTGAGTTGGACTCGGAGTAATTGATGGAGGACGGGGAAGAGGAGGACGAGGAGGACGAGGATGAGGAGGAGGAGCTGGGTGCGGGGTATTTACTGTGGTTCTGTTTGTTCTTGGTAGATGCAATGCCATTGCTGCAGCTGGGACTGTCTGCTCCTAGAAGCCAGGTGGGTCAGAGAAGGGTGGTCAGAAGTGGGGCCCCAGGAATTGCCACAGTAGTCCTTTCCCTTCTACCCAGTCCAGCAGCCAGTCCTAAGCCCACCACAATGAAAGGTAGGTAGGTGGCCATTCTTCTCCACACCAGCTCTTCCCAGAGACTCTGGAGAATGGCCACCCACCTGTGTTGTGCATGTGGGAACTACTAGGGCCATGTCGGGGGCTGAGGCTGGGGGAGCCAGGGTAGCTGTCCTGGGACTTGGGGCTTCGGGAGCTCAAACTTCGGACTTCACTGTCGGTGCCATTCACCATCTCCACAAACTGTCGACACCTGTGAAGGGAGCAGAGCATTGATGCTCTAGGCTGGCCCAGGGTGTGGGCTCCTGTTGCAAGCTGAGGGCCAGGCTCTGGTACCATAACCTGACTTACTTGAGCATGAAGAGCAGGTTGGGGTTGTGCTCCAGCAGCCCAGGGTAGAAGCGCTGGGTCGTTTCAATGGCTTCACCCACCCGGCCTTCAAGCACCAGCTTCTGGATTTCTGTAGAGAAGAGCATGGCTGTGAGTAAGGGCTGAGATCCCCTCCATATCCCTGGCCAGAAGTCAGGTGGGCTGGCTCTTGGCATGCTGCTAGCTGGAGGAGCTCACAGAAAAGACTGAGGGAACCCGGTTGCCCAGGACCACAGCAGAGGCTGGTTTTGGTCAGCTGTCATGGAGTCATCAAGAATATGAGGGGAGAACAAAAAAAGCTCACAGCCCAGAGGTACGAGGTGATTCTGGAAGTCCACTCCTGCAGAGAGCACAGGAAGCCAAGAAGCTAGCCAGTGAGGGGAGCCCTGGCTGTGAGACCATGATCTTGGGATGGCCTGAGGATGCTTCTTTAGACAGACTGCTCTCTCTTCAGGCCTCACAAGGGTGTGCACTGGCTTGAACTAAGGTCTATATCTTGACAATCTGCAGATGCTACAGCATGCTCCATACTGGGAAAAGAGGTAGTATACCTAACACTGGCATCTCTGATCTTGCTACTCCCTGCTCACTCTTACCCTACGCATCAGTTTGATACATCTTGCTGTGAATGACTTCTGGGTCTGAAGTTCTCTCATTTGTAGACTCCAAGTCTAGGACAGGACAGCTTTCCATCTATCTGGTTGAGCACAGCTTCTCTAGGAAACCCAGACACATGCACATACACAGAGGTGATGGGCTCAGAGAGACAAAGGTGGGCATTCACCAATACATCCATACACATATATCCACTCACCCACATTCTCCTCTCCTCCTATCTTATACTGTGTGGGTTCTGTTCTCTATCCCATCCCTCCTTCCATGAAAGTGTTCCAAACACACACAACATCAGGAGAGCTGCCTTTGGTCAAGAAAAAATAGGCTGTCTGCAAAGGGTAGCACTAGGGTTAGGAGGCAGGGAGATAGCATGACAACAGTCACAGAGCATCAGCTTCACCTTTTCTGAGCACGGAGTCCTCTCTATGGCTAAGAACAAGCAGAACTATTAAACTTAAGTAAGTGATGGGAAAGGCAGGGTGGTGGTGTAGTAAAATGCAAATATTCCTATTGGAACGAATAGAACACAGGACTCAGGGGGTATGGAGAGGAAACAAACATGGAAGAGCAGGGTTCTGCCATGCCATGAACAGGCCTACACCTGACTGTCAAAGTGTGTTATGATAGGGAGACAGCTCTGAGACCTTCTGAGGCCACTGGCTACCCGTGTGGCAGGTTAATCTTGAATGAAGGACAGGAACAGGGTCTCTAGAATGGTAAAGACAAGGTTAGACTGGACTCTGGACAGGCTAAGCAGGAACGAGCTACAGATTAAGGGGCAGGTAAGAAGGCATGGGAGAGGAACATTAACCTTACTTTGTCTGTTCTTTATGGATGCCTGTTCTTCCTGAATCGTGGTTTCAGTCATTCGGGCAAAAGCTGTGGCTGTGGCACAATACCCATGATGCACCAGATAAGAGGAGACCATGCTAGGAAAAAAAAAAGAGCTTAAGGTAACCCTCAAGAACCCCATTTCTCACAGAGCACTGAAAGGGGACAGACTATATACAGCCCCATGAGGTCTCCCCTAAATATACCTTGGAGGTGTGACCTAGAAGTGGGTGAAGAAAATGAAAACTTCCCTCAAGTGCTCATACTGTCAGGAGGAGAGGGAATGGTCACATCTGTGCTCACAGGTCAGGAGTGGCTACAGTTCTCTGAGATATGTTGTCTTCAATCTCATAGAAATAGCTGTCTTCTGGTAGACTGCAGCAAGTCCAGGTCTGGTCAATGAGCTTACCCTAGGGCTGCCTAAATCAGCAACTAGCCAGATAGTATGGCAGTTGCCTGGATACAGAGGATGCCTGGCACACCCACACTTGACAGAACTACTATACTTAAGCAAATGGTGAGGAAGGTAGGGTGGTGCTCTGGGGCTGCCTGTACTAGACAGAAGTGTCTTTGTCCCCAGTGAGTCTGCCATGTGGTAGCGCTGGCTCTCAAGCAGCAGTTCTCAACCTCTACGGTCATGACTCCTTTGGGGGGTCATATATCAGATATCCTGCACATTGGATATTTACATTACTGTTCATAACAGTAGCAAAATTACTGTTCTGAAGTAGCAATGAAAATAATTTTATAGGCCGGGTGTTGGTGGTACACGCCTTTAATCCCAGCACTCGGGAGGCAGAGGCAGGCAGACCTCTGTGAGTTCGAGGGCAGCCTGGTCTACAAAGCAAGTTCTAGGACAGCCTCCAAAGCAATACCGAGACACGCTGTCTCAAAATAAAAAAAAAACAAAAGAAAAAAATAATTTTATGGTTGGGGGTCACCACAACATGAGGAACCATATTAAAGAGTTGCAGTGTTAGGAAGGTTGAGAGCACTGATCTAGAATAATAGGAGCTTAATCTAGGGGCCAAATTAACTCCATGATATACCATGTATGTATCAGAAGCCCAAGAATTGAAGACATCTGGGTGATTCTTCTGGGAAGAGATAGGCACAGAACAGCCAATAATAGGCACAATCTTTGTGGAAGGGTATAATGTACAACAATTTATCCCCATCTAAAGCTGGCTGAGCAGTGCCGTATGTATGCATATGTGTACATACATGTGTACAAAGATGAGCTTTCATGACCCATGTGCATAGGAGATGTATGGGAACTATTCTAAGGCTGTACAACTCTGGATGTTTGTCTTCTAATGTTTTAAGGAGTAAATGAGATAACACAAACAAAATGGTTGGCATTTTAAACAGAACAGCAATGTATTTTGGAAAAAAAAAAAAACATGGTTCAGATGAGCCCATATGAACATCAGATACCTCTAAAATGTACTTTCATGGAGCTAGAGAGATGGCTCAGTGATTTAGGAGTACCTGCTACTCTTGCAGAGGACCTGGGTTTGGTTCCCAGCACTCATATAGTGGCTTACAACCATGTGTAACTCCAGTTCCAGGGGATCTGATGCCCTGGTCTCCACAAGTACCAGGCACACACAGTGTACATAATATATACCTGCAGGCAAAGCACTACTTCATAGAAAATAAATCTCTAAAAAAAAGTTAAATATGGTTTCTTTTACTTAAGAATACTGCTTAGGCCGGGCGTTGGTGGCGCACGCCTTTAATCCCAACACTCGGGAGGCAGAGGCAGGCAGATCTCTGTGAGTTCGAGACCAGCCTGGTCTCCAGAGCGAGTGCCAGTTCCAGGACAGCCTCCAATGCTCCAAAGCTACATAGAGAAACCTTGTCTTGGGGAAAAAAAAAAAAAAAAAAGAATACTGCTTAGCCAGTCAGTGGTGGCACACACCTTTAATCCCAGGAGGCAGAGGCAGGTGGATCTCTGAGTTTGAGGCCAGACTGGTCTACAGAGTGGGTTCTAGGAGAGAGCTACACAGAGAAACCCTGTCTCAAAAAAACAAAACAAAAGAATACTGCTTTAGGGGAAACTAAGAAAGTAATTTTAAGCATTTATTTGTTTGTTCATTGTTTTATGTGTTTGAGTGTTTGCTTTCGTGTATGCATATGTACTTTGTGTATTCCTGATGCCTGCAGAATACAGAAGAGTACCAAATCCTGTGGAACTGGAGTTACAAATGGTTGTGAGCTGTCATGTGGATTCTGGGAACCAAACATGGTCCTGTACAACAGCAGCAAGTGCTCTGAACCTCTGAGCCATACCTCTAGCCCCAGAAAGTAACTTTATATATGTAAATTTCTTTATTATGAAAGGGCCACCTATACCAGCAAAAGAAACAGGGGCTATGGAATCAGGTCAGCAGTACTGTGGTTGCCTAGCATATAGAGGACCCAGTTTCTACTATTGTCACAGAGAGAGGGAGGGAGGGAGGGAGGAGGGAAGGCTAGTAAAATGAAGAGCCAAACTTGGCCCCCTGTTGGATCCCAGCAACATTGGCTTCTAAGACAATTTAGACATTAATCAGCCAAGGAGCCTGCTAGGCTGATACTACTCTGCCATAGACACAAGGATACTTAGCTGGATACTGACCCTGTGAAGTGATATCAAACTAAAGTATGGCAATATGGATTTTTTTAAACCCATTTTTAAGATTTTATTTATTTATTATGTATACAACATTCTGCTTCCATGTATATCTGCATATCAGAAGAGGGCACCAGATTTCATAACGGATGGTTGTGAGCCACCATGTGGTTGCTGGGAATTGAACTCAGGACCTCTGGAAGAGCAGTCGGTGCTCTTAACCTCTGAGCCATCTCTCCAGCCCCAAGCAATATGGATTTTTTTAATGGTTTTTCGACACAGGGTTTCTCTATGTAACCCTGGCTATCCTGAAATTTACTCTGTAGACCAGGCTGGCTTCAAACTCAGAGATCTGCCTGCCTCTGCCTCCCGAGTGCTGGGATTAAAGGTGTGCACCACCTCCGCCCGGTGGGTTTTTTTTTAATTATTATTTTTAATTATATATATGTATGCAGTTCATGTGTGGGTATGGCAACTGGGAGAGGCTGGAGAGGTTAGATTCCCCTGGTGCTGGAGTTACAAGTGGCTGTGACCCACCTGACATGGGTGCTGGGAATTGAATTAAGGTCTACTACAAGAGCACTTTTAACCTCTGAGTCACTTCTCCAGCCCGAAGCAAAGTTTAACTAGAAGCAGCTCCAAAGCACAAAGAGGAAGATGTCCATTGAAGAGAGGGAAACAGTGGCAACTGCATCTGCTGCCAGTGCTTCCCAGAAACACACCCCACCACTGGGGTTGCCAGCAGTGTTCGCAGTACTGCTTATGTGTATAGTGCCGTGAGACCTGGGGCTGGAAGGGGGAATAACACTCACTTCTGCAGCACTGCCTGCCATTCACCGAGCCGGGCACTGATGGGAAAGCCATGGACAGTGCCCTGGACTTTGGCACGCCACTCCCGCATGTAGTCCTCGATGTCGAAGAGGAAGGGCTGCTGCCCAAAGTTGGCATCCACAATCTCTCCAGGTGTCTGCAGGCCTACGGTGGGGTAGAGGTTGGCCTGAGGAGGAGAATGAATGTCAGTCAGGCCCTGAGGGCAGCAGGGCTGCAGGCTTCTCTTCACTTCCATAACTCCTGCCAGCCAATACCAGGGCTGGAAGACAGTTGCATGGCAGAGGCAACAGGGATCAATCACATTCTGTCTACCTCCCTAGCAGAAAAACTATACCCAAAGCTTGAAGGGAGAAGAAAAAGCAAAGCAAAGCTCAACATGTAAAGTCTCCTGCTCTGCAAAGACCACTGTGTCCCCAAAGTCTTTGGCAGAGGTATACAGTAGAAGACAGGGTGTACACCACTACACCCATATTAATAAGAATGTGCTACCCGGTAGCTTTTGGTTTCTTCTGGAAAGAGAAGCAAGGCCAAGGATGTCCTTGGCCACAAAAAAGGAGGTACATGAGGGCATGGAATGACACAGGAAACGAGGGACACAGATGAGAACAGGCAAAGGATTTGGTGAATTGCTTCTGGAGCTGGTATTGGAGAGAGGGGCTGCTCCTCTTCCTGTCAGAGGCTTACTCAGCAGAGGCCCCTAGCCAGTGATGGGGATGTACGGAGCTCTCTGCTTTTACCACCACCTCCATTACCAGCTTTAGTCAGGTCATATCCTCATTCAGTGCCTCCTGTGGCTCCTACTGCCAATGCCCAAAGCTTCACACACCTCCCCATGCCACTGGACACCATTTTCCCAGGAACCCCTAGCCCTAGCCACTCTTTTTTTGTTGTTGTTTTTTGTTTTTTTTAAGACAGGGTCTCGGGCTGGAGAGATGGCTCAGCCGTTAAAGGCTAGGCTCACAACCAAAAATATAAGATAGGGTCTCATGTAGCCCATGTGGCCCCAAACTCACTATGTAGTTGATGACCTTGAACTGGCCCTGCTGCCTTCACCTCCTAAAGGCTAGGCTTATAGGTGTGCACCACCACCCCTGACTTCCTTGAGCCCTCTTCATCTTCCACTCTCAGATGATGGGTCATTTATGTGCACCTCATTATGTTTCTGAGTACACAGGGTTCAGCCCACCATGAGCTCTAAACCTACAGACTCTCTACTTCCTTTCTTTTCCTCCCATCTTGCATACCACAGGCAAAGCCCACAGGGACATTTCCCAATCTTTCCAGCACGTGACAGAACACTGCCCACACTCACGTCTGTTCATGTCATGTCATGTCTCCATACCTAGATGCTTCCCCAGCCAGAGTCAGAATTCTTCTGAGTCTGCTCCCTGTGCCTAGGACAACAGCCCCTTTCTGGGGCCTCCAGGAAGAAAGGAAGGATTCTGATACATACAAGTTCAAACACGACTGTGGGTACTGCATTAAGATTCAGAGGCAAGCTGGGCAGTAGTAGCACACACCTTTAATCCCAGCCCTCGGGAGGCAGAGGCAGGTGGATCTCTGTGAGTTTGAGACCAGCCTGGTCTACAAGAGTTAGATCCAGGACAGCCCCCAAAGCCACAGAGAAACCCTGTCTCGAAAAACAAAAAAGAAAAAAAAAAATTCAGAGGCCCCCTCAGATCAGAAACACACTTCCTGGGCACATTGGTATACCCAGGATCCTAAAGCAGTCACCAAAGTCAAGAAACTTCTCATTTTCAGAACCAGCCAGGGCACATAGACCCATGCAGGCTCCCAACACTTTGGGTAAAGGCTCTGCATGTGACAACGCCTGTACAACTCAGTAAAGTAATGGGATAGAGAGGTGGGAAAGAGTCCCAAACTAAGCTGACAGGAAACCTCATCCCTGTCTAAGAAGAGAAAAGTCTACCCAACTCATCTCCCAGGCTTAGGGGAGCCCTGAACAGTAGCATTCTAGGTTTCCTCAGGGATCTCTGAGGGGCCCAGATAAGGACCTGATTCCTATAAGTTCAGGAGCAACCCCTATATTCCACATCCCGGTCCACTGGCTGGAAGTTACAGGCATTGGATTTAGATCAGCCTGTGCCATGGAGTTACCCTCATTCGACCAACATTCCCTTACCCCCACCCGCCACAACTGCCTTAGAAAATGCCACAAATTTCTGTCACCTGCTAAGAGACGTGGAGGAACACCAGGCCTTGCTGAAGAGAGAGGACGGCCAGCAGGAAACCCCTACTGGCACCCTCAAGCTGGCAGCACATCACACATCCCTGCTTGGGGAAAGGGCCAGACTCCACACCCTGCACTTGCAGGCTCCATCACCCATCCCAGGCAGCCCTCAACAGCCCAGGAGGAAAGCCCATTAGTAGTACTTACCGGGAGATCTGTGAAGGCTATACCTGTGGGGAGGAAAGGACAGTGATCAGGACATTAGATAGGAATGGCCCCTTAGTCTCCATGCCTCTGTGAACTCAGGGTGCAAATGGTGGCCAAGCATGTACTAGGTAGTTTTAGACCTGGGCCTTCCTCTTGCTGGGCAATCTAATCAGAAGGGAAACCAGAACCTTAGGGAATTAATTACCTATAGTTTTCCACCTTTGCAAGAATGTCTGCTAGGAAGAACTAAATCCAAGTGATCTGTCACCTAAAGCTGTTCAAGCCTCTTGATCTGGCATGTCTTTATAGAAACCTGTGTGCTCACCAGGCGCCAGGCGCCAGGCGGTGGCGATGACACACCTTTAATCCCAGAACTTGGCAGGCAGAGGCAGGTGGATCTCTGTGAGTTTGAGACCAGTCTGGTCTACAAGAGCTAGTTCCAGCCTCCAAGCCACAGAGAAACCCTCTCTGGAACTCCCCCCTCAAAAAAAAAAAAAAAAATCTGTATGCTCTCACCCTTTATCTACTACGTGATCCACTCCTCAGGTCAATTCCTTAGAACAGGCATTCTGCCCATTCTCCCACTTACAAACAAGGAAAAAGAGCATGAGGGGCTAAAGGCATTGCCTTTGGTCACTGAGATGTTGGTAGTGGTAGATCTGCACACATTCCACGTCTATCTAACAGACCAAGCTGACAGAGAAGTGAAGGCAGGGAGGGTGGCAGCCCCTCATCTTTAGACCGCACCAGTTCTAAGTCCTCAGAAGTTCCTTATTATCTAAGTACTGGCTGACAATGGCCTGTGCATCTCCAAACCCTCCTGTTAGGACTGGAGAATGCATCTCTACAGACTTCAGAGTTGATCTGCAGTAAGGGTGGAGGTCATGCAGCCCCAAACATATGAGGAGACCTGTGCAATACCCTTAAGAGTGGTGTATCAGAATGTCAAGAGCCAAGGAAGCCTCTTCCAAGGCCTCCCAGACCTCTTTTTTAGATTAAGTCTTTCATCATCTGGGAACCCTTCAGATTTTGGCATTAGGGGTCAAACCACTGACTCCTTGAAGGCCCCAAAGGACTTTCTGAACCCTCATCCAGCAGGAAACAGAAACTCAGCAAACAGCACAGTGAAGTCTGACAGCAGCCTTGGGAAGTGTGCAATATTTCTCACACTAGTGCACAGACTAAAACCCAAGGTAAAGAGAGAGATACATTCTTTGCACAGCTATTTTGCTCTCCAATGAGTAAAAGTCAAAAACCTTATTATGCTCCACTGGCCTGAGGCCACTTGTGAGCCTCACATATAGGACCAGAAGCTCCTAATTAAGCTGCCCTTGTAGATCTTGGAGTATCCAAGATGCTATGTATTCCTGGGCTTGGGAAGATACTCACAGGGCCTTAAAAGTAGGGGGACTTGGGCTGGAGAGATGGCTCAGAGGTTAAGAGCACTGACTGCTCTTCCAGGGATCCTGAGTTCAATTCCCAGCAACCACATGGTGGCTCACAACCATCCATTATGAGATCTGGTGCCCTCTTCTGGTGTGGAGATATACATGGAAGCAGAATGTTATATACATAATAAATAAAATATTTTTTAAAAAATTAAAAAAAAAAGTAGGGGGACTCCAGCTCTACCAGATATTGCCATGTGACCTTTGGAAGGAAAGTGCTCTAGCCCATCTGCAGAAAGGGTAATACTAACCTTTACCTCAAGGGGAAAAAAAAAAAAAAGAAATAAACAAACAAAAATGAACCCATCTGTGAAAGTTGCTTCATACACCATCAAGTCTAGGTACAAGTTGGCTGTAGTTGGGTCACACTCTGGGACAGAGGCTGACCCAGTTAGACTTGCCCAACTCTGCCTCACAATGGCTCCAGGAAAGACAAATCCATGCAAAGAAAAGAACTACTCTCATCTCTACTGCACTGTGGAAGGCAACATTGCTCCCTGACGAGGCCTTATGAGCCTCATCAAGGCTACTGTGATAGTAAGATTTATGTAGACCCACAGGAAGAAAGGCCAGGCAAACAAGATAGCCAGACTTGCTGATAAGAACCACCCTGGATCAAACAGGGTCTGGGGTCCCTGAAGCTGAGAACAGAAGATTATGTGAGATTGTACAGAACACATGAAGAAGAATCCACAAGCACACAGATCACTTGTGGACCAGGTATCAGTCCTCTATCTCCACTTACTTATATCTGTTGAGGAGCCAGGTCCAATAAGTAATAGGACCAGGGAAACAGCTATAAGTCAGCTGACCCTCAAAGTGCCTTTGAATTCATCAAGAAAGATGGTATATTAAGAATAATTAGAGGGGGCTGGAGAGATGGTTCAGAGGTTAAGAACACTGGCTGCTCTTCTGGAGGTCCTGAGTTCAATTCCCAGCAACCACATGGTGACTCACAACTATCTGTAATGAGATCTGGTGCCCTCTTCTGGCCAGCAGGCATGGATGGAGGCAGTGTTGTATATATAATTAAAAAAATAATAATAATAATTAGAGGATAGGCTCCAAAGCTACACAGAGAAACCCTGTCTCGGGAAAAAAAAAAAAAAAAAAAAAAAAAAAAAAAAAAGAAGAAGAAGAATTAGAGATACTGAATGATGGCACATAAGGCTTGAGTGCTAGGACAAAGAAAAGGATCAGGGAGGCCAGAGGCAGGATATGTAATTCTAGTTCCCTAAAATGAATGGGATTAGAATCTAAAGCATATCAGTAATAATACGATGGCTCATGACATGGGAAGATTGACCAAGCATCTATCACTCAAACTATATGAAATTTCATGATCCAGAAAATGCAAAAGACAGGACTTACTAATTTTCAGTTAGGTCTCAACAATATACTTGTGGACCAAATAGTAAAACATGAGCTTCAAGCTAACTACCTGATTCTCCCTTCCCACACTCCATATTTGGGATGGAAGCAGGGCCTTCACTATGCCAAGCAAGTGTTCTACCACTGACACATAGCTCTAGCTCTCTTTTCAGTTTTTTTTTTTTTTTTAAACAGATTCTTATTAAGATGCCCTAGCTGGCCCTGAGCTTTCTAAGTCCCTGCCATAAGAATTTAGGATTACAGCCTATACTACCAGATGGAGCTTAACTAATTCTTGCTTTTTGTTGTTGTTTTGTTTTGTTTTGTTTCGAGACACGGTTTCTCTGTGGCTTTGAAGGCTGTCCTGGAACTAGCTCTTGTAGACCAGGCTGGTCTCGAACTCACAGAGATCCACCTGACTCTGCCTCCCAAGTGCTGGGATTGAAGACATGCACTACCACTACCCAGCCAGAAAACTTTTGTTTGTTTTTTTGAGACAGGGTTTCTCTGTATTGTTTTGGAGCCTGTCCTGGAACTCGCTCTGTAGACCAGGCTGGCCTCAAACTAACAAAGATCTGCCTGCTCTGTCTCCCGAGTGCTGGGATTAAAGGCATGCACCACCATAAAAAGCATTCACTAGGTAGATAAATACCAAATATGGCCTGTGGGGACCAGACTAGCAAAGAGTTCGAGGCCCTTTGGTGGTCCTAGCACACATCTGTAAAGCCCAAAGGAGGCATTAAATATATGGGTACTATAGATACACCACAGTATCCTTCATACCATGCTGTAAGCAAGATATGGACAAGTTAGAGGGATGTGAAAGTAAGTACAGGAAGGGGTAGGACTGAGCCTGGCTACAGACAGCAGATGAAAGGATAGACAATGACAGCATACAACAAGAGCCTTTGGGGATTCTGGCAACAGATGAACCCAAAGTGGGAAAATGGCTAGAGTCAGAAAGCAGAGGAGCAAAGAACCAGCCTGAGATCTTACCAGTGGGACACCAGCAACTACAACTAGGTGATGATCAGTCTCAGACAGTTTCTCCAGATGTGCCCTGAGGGAAGCTCTACTGCTGCGACATGTTCCCAGCTACCCATCTTTCTGTCCTTTCCTGCTTTCTCTAGGCTATAGTGTACAAACTGCCCTCCTAAAGAATGTCGGCTCTTAGTTGCTCATTCCCAGTCAGTAGCAAACCTAATTTCTGTAGGGTTCTTGGTTCTGGCTGGCACATCTCCTAGAAAAACCACACAGGTTGTAGAGACAGCAGCCAGATATTTACTGCCCCAAAAGTCAGCAGAAGCAGGGTACCCAGTTTCTATTTCTGCAAAGCTCGGTGGCCTGGTTAGTAAGGTGTTGCTGGTCTTCTTGGGAGAAGCAGGGTATGGCTAGAGTAGAGACCCTTGCAAGGCAGGCAAACCTAGCAGTTAGGGACCCACACAAGTTGGGACAGTGTGGCCATTTACTGGTCAGTACCTGGTAGGACAAGGCATCAGAATAGTCAAAGTCACTTTATATGAAATTTTTTTTCATGTTTTAAACTTTAATTCATTTTATCTTGTGTATGTATGTATTCATGTGAATAGGGGCATATATATGCCATAGCATAAGTATGGAAGTCATAGGACAACCTTGGGTAGTTACATAACCCAGGCTGGCCTTTAACTCATAGAAACCATCTTGCTTCAGTTCCTGAACGCTGGAATTTCAGGCATATGCCACATCTGGCAAGTTCTTTCTTTTTCCTCACCCAAACCCTTTTTGTTTGTATAGTACTCTTATAGTCTACACGGGCCTCAAACCCTTTATAGAGATGAGGATGGCCTTGAACTTCTGCTCTTCCTGCCTCTATCCCTCTAGTGCTGCAATTGCATGGTAGGCATTCACTACCATGTCCAGCTTAAGCTCTAATGTTTCTATACATGTATAGGACAGCTCCTTTCATCAGACCCCCAACTTTCCCACTTCTATATTCTTTCACTCCACTTGCTTAACATTCCACTAGTCCAGCTGCTTCCCACCTTTCTCTTTGTGAAAGTGCACCCACCCATCTATCCTGCTGAACCTCTATTCCCATTTCTCATACCCATCACTGGAGAATTAACCTCCAGATACTTGCCTTTTCTCCTGGCCCTTTCTCCAGCCCATCCTTCCATTTCTCTCTGGGCTTTATTTTTTTATTTTTATTTTTATTTTATTTTATTTTGTAACTCCGTCCATGTTGCTGCATGTTAACCATGAACAGGCCAGAGTTCTGTCCCTATTTGACTCCTTCATATCTGTTTACATTCTGTCTGGCAGCCCTCACTGTTACTTTCAGTACCCTACTGTCAGAAGAACTGGCCTAAGTCTGGGCCAGGTTTTAGGTATGTAAACCCTAATCTAAACCATAATCACTGATAACTCCACTTAGGGCCCTCAAACTTCTTCTCCATTAAATAAACAGACAAGACAAGCCAGGATCATGACCAGAACACTGCAGCACTCTCACAACCACCCTAGGCTTTCCAATAAATGCTGCTGAAGGGACAGGTTAACAAAGGGCATTCCCTGTTGCCTTCCATTCACCTGAAAGGGTTCCAATGGCTGGAAATGACTGCAGTTCCCCAGAGCTGCGCAGAGGTTCCATGATACTACTTTGACTCCAAGGCCTGCCTTGAGCTTCTCATCAACCAAAGTGGCTCCACAGACCAGACCCTCCAAGGTCTCCTATGCACCTACCAAGGCTGTGGCCATTCTTGGTGTAGAAGCAGGTGCCATTGATGAGGTTGACACAACAGCCGATCACATCCCCTGTGGTGAATGTGGGACCATAGGGCTGGCCGGTCCCCGAGGAGCAGAAGGAATGCCCATCATCGCCATGGTAACCATAGGAATGTTTGTCCCAACCTGTTGGGAAGAGAGCAGCAATAGCTAAGAATATGTACTTGATAGAAGGCTCTGAAGGTCTCAGTTATATCCCCCGGTTTCTTATCCACCTTAGCTAGCACTCAGGGGTATAGTCTTTCACATGGCTGCCTATGGACATGGTCTTACTAGGCTGTATACATATTCTGACAGGATCCACCAGACCATCACCTCTGAGGAGCTGAGGCAGGAACCAAAACCTGGAAGGGACTCACTAGAAGACAAATGCAAAAGGCGAAGTCTCATGAAGGAGCAAGCTAGAACTTATAAAGTCTATTCTGTTGAGTCAGTTGTTAAGAGTGTTTTTGTTTTTCAGACAGGATCTCATGAAATCCACAATAGCCTCAAACTCATTATGTAGCTGAAGCTAGTCTTGAACTTTTGATCCTCCTACTTCCATTTCCCAAGTGCTAGGATTCCAGGAGAGTACCAGCATGCCCAGCTGTTAAAAATATGTAATGTGTTTTAACTGGGGAATAATTTAGTCTTTTCTTTTTGGTAGTAATAGGGATTGAACTAAGGGTCTTGGGAATGCTAGACAGGCACTTCACCATTAGGCTCTACTAATTCTTTTTTTTACATTTTATTTTTATGTATTTATTTACTTAGGTGTTTTTGGGTTTTGTTTTGTTTTGTTTCCCAAGACAAATCTTCTCTGTATAGCCTTGGCTCTCCTAGAACTCACTCTATAGACTAAGGTGGTCTCCCACTCACAGAGATTCACCTGCCTCTGCTTCCCAAGTGCTAGGACTAAAGGCATGTGTCACCACTGCCCAGCTATAAATAAGATATTTTTAAACCACAGAATGTTATGTATTTCCTCAGGAATAGCAGCTGCAACAGCAGAATGGTTCAGAGATAGCATGGGACTTTCCTTTCTGGAAAGGGCAAGGCTCCTCTCCTCTGCTACTGAATAATTAACAAACCCCAACTCCTAGGAGTTTGCAAAGGGGGATGTGGAATGTGGAAGGAGCAGGGAAGACATAACATGTAAGTAAACAATCAAGTAAGCAAGGAATACCTGGTAGAGACTGGAGAGATAGCTTAGTGATTAAGAGCACTGGCTGCTCTTCCAGAGGACCCGAGTTCAATTCCCAGCACCCACATGGCAGCTTACAATCATCTGTTGCTCCAGTTCCAAGAGATCCAATGGTCTCCTGGCACTGCATGCATGTGGTACACAGACACTATATATTCGGGCAAACACACACACACACACACACACACACCAGTTCTACTTGCCAAGAAGATCAGAGGGAAAGACATTTTGGGTGAAGAGAATACAATCAGCTCATCTGAGCAAAACAAATTTCCACAGGTAGTTAGCAGCTCCCAAATTCCCTTGCAGCCATTGTTCTAACCTCATAGAGAAAGTCAGTTTAGGAGCCTAAAGCTAATAAGCAGGGAGCAGAGACAAAAGATATAAACAGCCCTGAGGAACATCTGGGTACCTGAGACCAGCACCAGTTTGCCCTTCCAGGGGTCAGTGGGCCAAGCTGGTCAAAGAAAGGCTCTCTTCCTTAATGTAGTCAAAGTTCTTGGACTAAGTAACCCTATTTAAGCACCCTTCTGTCCACACTACCTAACATCTGTTCATGTAGGTGCTCAAAGAATGTTTTTTAGGACTGAGGGTAGAGCTCAGTGGTAGAGTGTCTGTCTAGCACACATGAGGCTCCACATATAGAGACTTATAATAAAGTCACTTTTGCACTTGGAAAGAAACCTACAGCAAGTTGGCAGACATGACTCCAACCCAGTAAACAGCTTCATTCCTTTGGTTCTCCATTCCTCATCTGTGAAACAAGGCAGAGGATGCAATATCCCTAGAAGTTTGAAAATCATCTATGTGCCAAGTCCCCTTCCTATTTAGGGGACTAGTAGTCATGCCTCGAGTAAGGTCCTCCTATCCAGCCCCTCTCCTTAAGACTAATATACTCTTTCCCACGCATGCCCTAAAGCCAACAGCATGCATATTCATCCTTCTCTGGGTGAGCCTGTACAAAGTTGGGTATGCGTCTAATAATGAGATTTGCTATTCCCACTACAAGACCACAGACATGAAGGTCAGTGGTTGATTGCTTGCCTAGCATGCTTAAAACCCTTCTGGGTTGATGTCCAGCACCACAAAACAAAACAAAACAAAACAAAACAAAACAAAGCAACGCAAAACAAAACAAAACAAAACAAGAACTAGAAACAGCTGCATCAAAGGACAGCAGGACACAGGGTTCTAAGAGGACAGGTGGGCACTAGTATATGGGCCAGGCTCTATAGGGAATCATATCCAGTTAGCTCTGATTCAAATGCCACCAAACTCACCATTCCTCCTCCTCCAAAGAAATTAGGTATTGCTACTCTCAAAAGGAACTAATCACACGGGCACCCTAACACAAGAGCCAATGTCAGGGTGCCCTGTCACACATCAGGTACTTACTAGATGTCAGTAACACAAAGGGAGGGCAAGCTACATTCAGCCCAGGAGGCTCCATGTGTACAGTTTAGGAACCACAGTACCATCCACTTCCCGTGACTCATCATCAAAATGGGAAGACCCAAAACATAAGTACAGGGTGGCTGAGGAAATAGTTCATTGTCTTGGCATCCCCAGACATTATGCATGGGACATCCCAGAGGTGAGAGACTCTCTGTGGGAGTGCCAGGACTCCCGTATGATTGCTCTGGGAGCCCACCCATAACACTGCCACCCATGAGGACACATCAAGGGCTGCAGTCTCAAAGTAACGGGGACTGGAAAAGATCACTGCCAAATCACACCATCAGTGTATTCCATCCAAACCCTGGAAGGGGGCCTGGGCTGTGGCTGCCTACTAGGTCCCAGCACAACATTGCCCAAACAAAGGGGCCAGCCCATGCCTTACCCACAAGCTAGCCTGAGCCCGGGCCTTCAGACCAGTTACTTTTCCACATCCCACTCAACAGTTTACTTTGGGATCAGAGGACTTGATTGTATTTCGGCTAGGGTCTCACCATGTTGCCCTGGCTGATCTCAAATCACAGGTTCAGATGATCTTACTGACTTAGCATTTGAGTCTGAATCCCACCTCTTTCACTCAGCTCCTGAGTTTACTCAACTGAATTTCTTTCAGGGATAGCAAGATTCAATGAGACTGGTCATGAGGTACAAGCCACAAGAAATATTTCTAGTTCTTTCCTCTCACCACCTTGAACACCAGCTTGTAATCACACCTGGGTGCTCTGGACTTCTAGCTCCCTTTTTCCCTGCAGTGGCAAGCCAGGGTCACCATCCGCCTTTCTCAACAAACAGCCTGAAGGGTCCATTGGCAGAAGACCCAGGCCCACTCTGTTCTTGCTCGTTGATAGCTTACAGAACATTCAGCATTCAAGGACCATGCCCAGGGATCTCAAGATTGCACCCTTGGGACCTGCTGTGGAAAGCAATGTGCTGGGCTGGTTGGCCAGGGGGTTTTCTAAGCCTACTAAAAAGATAGCCAAGCACTATGTGGGGCTTCACTGGTGCTGATACATTCCATTCAAAAGTCCATCAGATTTGCTTTCTCTATAACCCCAACTATCTTAAAAAACCTGACAGAGCTGGGTGGTGGTGGAGCATGCCTTTGATCCCAGCACTCGGGAGGCAGAGGCAGGAGGAGCTCTGTGAGTTCGAAGCCAACCTGGTCTACAAAGCAAGTTCCAGGACAGGCTCCAAAGCGACACAGAGAGACCCTGGTCTCAAAAAACCCAAAAACAAAACAAAACAAAAAACCCTGACAGAAGCACAGTGTGCAACAGATCAACAGTGGCTAATGGAAAACGGGAAAGGTTTTTTGTTTGTTTGTTTGTTTCCATTCAGTAGATGCTGTGAGGTAACAGAATAGGCCCATCACAGCACTCTGCAGTCTTACCACTCTTGTGACCATTAATCTGAGCTTTAGGACTGTCGGACCATGGCAACCCTAAAACCTCTGGCAGCTGCAGATAGAAAAGGAAATAGTAACCCAGGAGCAGAATCTTCATGATGGCTCTTCATGGAAACCATGTTAAAGAAGGAAAGAAAACAAAACAAAACAAAACAAAAAACTCTGCAAGTATCTAATGACACTGGATAAGGTATGCCTTCCCACGGGCTCATGACCCCTCCAATGATACAGGGCCTGGGAGTCCATCTGCAGCCATGGGTAGGGAAAGGGAGGATATAGCTAGTACCTGCATAAAAAGATGGCTCAGCAGGTAAGAATACTGGCTGCTCTTCCAGAGGACCCAGTTCAATTCCCAGCACCCACAAGCAGCTCACAACCATCTGTACATTCTGATACATAGCTCTGATACATTCTTCTGGCCTCCATGTTATGCCAAGTTCGTGAGACCCCCCAAAAAAACCACCAAGGAGCTGACTCACTGATGAAAATGAATAAGGTTTAATCTTAAATTACAAGCCTCAGCAGGAACCCTGTCCAGCAAACTGGCACAGCAGCTGCAGGAAAAGGGTCCCTGCCGAGACTGGTAATTTAACATTAAACCTTATGTGTCAGATCCTTGGTGGTCTTTTTCTGAGGATGGAGTTAACTCCATCCTCTCCAGTTTACCTTGTTCTTACACTCCACAGACACTGCATGTATGTAGTGTACAGACATTCAAGCAGGCAAAGCACCTACGCACATATAAATATCTTTTTAAAATAGGAAGAAACACATCTTGTTTGTGTCGTCATCCCTGGTGTTCAGAAGTCTAAGACCTAGGAGTGCCCAAGAGGGTCTAGCTAGGTCTAAGCTCAAATGGCATCTGTCTCACCTACATGTTATTTTTCTATACCTTAGAATCCCTAGGGAAAGCTGGGTTTGTCACACTGAACCATGTTAAGGAAAAGGGATGGCACTGCTCTGCACAATGGGGGTGTGAAGTCTCAACTCCCAGGACTATTTATTGTCTCTTGGGGGCTAAGTCTGGCTTCTGCTCATTTCCCACAGGGCTTCTTTCAAATCTCTGGGGAGGGTTAATGGATG